TGAATCCCCCCTATCTTGTCGTGCTGACGGAGGACATGACTTATTATTCACGTTACTTGTTATTAGAGGTGTAATTAGGTCGGGTCAGGTCAGGTCAGGCTTTGGCCTTCATGACTTAGGCCTATACAAAAAAAAATTCAGTCTATCTGATCTATGAGCTTATTAAAGACTTAATTTAAAGGTCAAGTTTGTCCTGTTATTTAAAAATAAAAAGTCTACATGACCTTTGAGACCTACCATATTACAAATTAAATAATAATAAAAAAAATCTCATTCATTAAACAATATTTGCAGCATGAGTTCACATAATAAAAATTCTACAATAGATTTTTTTAACAAAAGTACAAATTACAAAATTGTTATACAATTGTGTTGATCGAGGGACGGGGACATCAAACATCAAGTGCTTGTGAAGCTCCAATTAGTTGTTCTGTCATATTTCATTATTATGCTTTGGTTATATTTCAAGTTCAATTAGTTAGTTAGGTACGACTTAGGCATACATTGATATATATATATATATATATATATATATATATATATATATATATCAATGTTATATCAATGTTGACAACATGTTACGAGACTATATATATATATGTTCTCCAACGTGACTATATTAGATTAACCAATTAACATTGACAACATATTTTATGTCATTTTTTATTTTTTCGAATATAGATAATATTATAGGATAATTAATTTTTTTTATTTAAAAACTTAAATAGGCCAGCCTACAGGCCAAAAGGCCAGATTGTTTATATTTAGCCTACAACCTTGTTTTTAAACAGGCTTACCTACAAGCCTTTACCTGTTCTAATTGCCTCAAAGGCCGGACCAGACAAGATTTTTCATAGGCCAGGCCGTAAGCCTGTAGACTAGCCTGACCCATTTACACTTCTACTTGTTATTAATTAATGTCTTTCATTCCAAATTTTATCCTTTTTATTTTAAAAATAATTATTTTTTATGTTTTGAACGTGAGATTAATATTTCTTTTGTAATATGATAAAATTATTTTTTACAATTCTAAAATAATATTATTTTAGGGTTTGAGAAAAATAATACATGATATTTTAAGATATTCATTGTATAAGAGAAAAGTAATTTTGAAAATACCTTAATTTTTTTTAAACTCCAAAAACGACATGAAAATAATTTTATTTGGCACAAGAGAAATATTTTTTTTTCCTTTATATTTTTTTTGAAATTTAAAAATATAAATTTGTTTGATTCTATTACTTTTTCATTTTATTAATACTCTCTTACTTTATTTAATAAAATATAAAATGATAAAATAAAGATAAAAAAGTTTCCGATCATTTTTTATCGTTAAAAATAAATTAAAATTCATTAATTGAAAATTTTCAAAATTGATCATGCAATCTGATGCAGGATATACCTTGAGGGATCAAGAGGCTTGAAGAACGCACAAGAACAAGTCAAATTTGAGTAAGGCCAAAGTTAGTGGATCAGTGGATGCTTCATTCTTATTCCCTCATATATCTATTGTTATATCAATATTTATAACGGTAATTCCATCGAAACTTAATTCCTTGCTCTTGATATATGGAGAAAGAACTATATTTCATGGACTTTTGATGTTGAAAATCATTTAGTACGAATAACCTTAGAGAAACAATTTGGGGGTTTTTGGTAGATGGCTTCTGATGGAATGGCTGAGTAAGTGAAGGCGAATATCATTAATGTCATATTTGATAGAGGGTTTATAGAAATAAAACTAGGCATCCTTAGTACTCATGCAAATCATCTTTGTGTGTAAATTGAGAGCAAAAACACTATTTACAAAGACCACTTTGGAGGTGGTATATGGGAAAGACTGGGAAACTGAAAAAATTGGCTCGATGTTATTGTAAAGAACCTTGGGATACATCACCCCAAAAGCTAGCTTAAAGGGTGGGAGTGCCCAAGGCCTTATAAAGGCCACATTAGTTGCACATACAACCAATGTGGGACTATATATCTCAACACGCCCCCTCACACGAGAGCCGGCTTAAAGCGTGGATTATGCACAGACCCAATTTTTGGTTTACCTTTTGTGCTTTTTGTTTTTAATTCCACTTTAAAGTGGAGACAGTGAGGCTCTGATACCATGTAAAGAACCTTGGGATACACCACCCCAAAAGCTAGCTCAAGGAGTGGGAGTGTCCAAGGCTTTATAAAGATCATATTAGTTGTCCATCCAATCAATGTGGGACTATATATCTCAACACGCCCCCTCACGCAAGAGCCATTTAGGCTAGAAGCGTGGAAATTGCACAGGCCCATTTTTGGTTTACCTTTTTGTGCTTTTTTTATTTTTATTTTTAATTCCACTTTTTAAAGCGGGGACGATGAGGCTCTGATACCATGTAAAGAACCTTGGGATACACCACCCCAAAAGCTAGCTCAAGGAGTGGGAGTGTCCAAGGCTTTATAAAGATCATATTAGTTGCCCATCCAATCAATGTGGGACTATATATCTCAACAATTACAGCTCGAAATGCCCCTCAACTACTTTCGGTTTAGACTAGGGAAGTACCCATGTCTCTTTTATGTTAGATATTAGTGATTTATAACAATTAAAAAATAAAAAAATGTAAGAATATAAAAGCAATTTCTCAACTACAAAATCTGCATAAAGACCCATTTATTTTCGTATGTTTCTCTTCTTACATAAACATATTCATTTGCACTGTAAACACACCGACAAGTTTATTATAACGATCTTTTGTTCCCTTCTCCAAATCAAGTTTATTATAAGAGTTAATTTCGTCATTTTTATTCATTTTTTCATTATTATTTTACGTTCAATCAAACAAAGACTCACAACATTTAATCCAATTTCTCTGGTAAAATGTTACCCAACTAAACAATTTTTTTTTTAACTTTTCTATCAAATTCACTTTTTTTATCATATTCCTGGTTATTACATTTACCTGGTTAAAAAAAATATCTCTTCTACCAAACGTCCGGAAGAAAGTAAGGTTTTCCGGTAAAAGCATGCCAAGGCGATGATATTTCACCGTCATCATCTCTATGAAAATCTTAAGCCGATTGTTTAGCGGCAAAAGATCCATTAGAGTTGTGACAATGTTCAGAGGAAACGTATGACCACAAAAACCTAGCATTTTTGCTAGAAACTTGCTATAAATAGGTTCACTTAATATTACAAGTATTTAAAATTGTAAGTAAGTACAATACAATCCCACTATTTTTTGAATTACTTTTAAATTAAAATCATGCGAAGAAAAAATTAAAGATATTTCAGAAAAGAAAAAAAAATTCTGAAAAATATATACTTTTTGATATTTTATATTCTTATTATCATGATATTTCTCCTTAGATTTTCATTTTCTTTACTATATTTCATAATATATAAATGAGTTGGGCTGTTAGTACTCTTAATTGTAGGAGTGCATGTGTAAAGAACCTTAGGATACACCACTCCAAAAGCTAGCTTAAAGAGTGGGAGTGCCCAAGACCTTATAAAGGTTATATTAGTTGCCCATCTAATCAATGTGGGACTATATATCTCAACACGCCCCCTCACGCAAGAGCCCTTTTAGGCTAGAAGCGTGGAAATTGCACAGGCCCATTTTTGGTTTACCTTTTTGTGCTTTTTTTTATTTATTTTAATTTCACTTTTTAAAGCGGGGGACGGTGAAACTCTGATACAATGTAAAGAACCTTGGGATACACCACAATACCATGTAAAGAACCTTAGGATACACCACCCCAAAAGCTAGCTCAAAGAGTGGGAGTGCCCAAGACCTTATAAAGGTCATATTAGTTGCCCATCTAATCAATGTGGGACTATATATCTCAACAGCATGTGAGACAAGATAATTACATAAACACAGCTTTGCTAAACTTATTTATATATCTTGATTATTTTCATTTCTTTTATCACATCTTTCCTTAAAGTGTTTTTTAACTTTATTAATTTAGTATTTATTAATCATGTGTGTGTTAGAGGAAAAAATCAAAATAGTAATAACGTAAAAGACACTTTAAACATTGGGGTCAAGTAAATAATAATTATAAAAAATAAAATCATATTTTTTATATAAGAACGAAATTCACAGAGTAATAGTAATATATAAATGACATGTTATTATTTACACATTTTTATTTAAAATTAAAAATTTTGTCATTCATAACACACACACAAACAAATTATTCAATTTTTTTTTGTCAACACTATTTACGAGATTTTATGACAAACATGAAACATATATATTAGAATAGAAAAATATTTCTGTAGTTACTACAGATAAATTATCAGCATTTATTCTCAAAATGTGGTCGTTTTGCAATTGAAAGATTAAAAAATATTTATAATTATAAAAACTATAACAACCCTAAAATAAATTAAAATTATAAAAACACTATAAATTTCGTTCAAAACAACGCCGTATTGAACTTACAGCAGATAACTTTTCTGCAGTCACGGTAGAAAAAATGAACCCATATTAGAATTTAGTTTAGTTCATTTGCATAACCGGTCTATTTTTAAGTTTAAGTTTGTTCATAATTATAATAGAAAAATATTTCTGTAGTTACTGCATATAAATTATATGCTTTTACTCCCAAAGCGACGCCGTTTTGGAATTGAAAGATTAAAAAATTATAATTATAAAGACTACAATAACCCTTAAATAAATTAAAATTACAAAAATATCATGATTTTTCCTCCAAAATAACGTCGTATTGAGCTTACTGCAGATAACTTATCAGCAGTGACGGCAGAAAAAATGAACCCTAATTATAAAGTTAAACAAATGAACTTGAATAAACATTTAACGAAAAAAAATTGAATAATTGAATAACTCAACTCATATGCATCCTTTTTTTTTTTCCATTTCTCAATCTCTTTTAGTTGCTTAAAATTTTAATTACCTAAAATTACCTACATTAAATAATCATTTTTAAACACTCTTATATGATGTTGTGAAAAATAAATTATTACTTTAAAATAAACTAATCTAAATATAGACCTAGTCACGAAATTTTAAAGTAAAAAATTAAAATTAAGCAATATTTTAAAATTTATTCAAAAAAGTTAAAATTTTAATTACCTAAAATTACCTTCATTAAATAATCATTTTTAAACACTCTTATATGATGTTGTGAAAAATAAATTATTACTTTAAAATAAACTAATCTAAATACAGACCTAGTCATGAAATTTTAAAGAAAAAAAATTAAAATTAAGCAATATTTTAAAATTTATTCAAAAAAGTTGTGTGAGTATATATATATATATATATAGAAAAATATTTCTCAAGCAGCTTGAGATATATTTATTTCCATCCACCCAAAAATTACGTCATTTTGTTTATTTATTTTGTTATATTAATTGATTCACCTTTGAATGGTTATGACGCTCTGTTTCTCTGTTTTCCTTTATCACTATTGATCCATCTGTGTACGGTTATGATTTAGTAGCCAGAGATAAAGTCATCTCAAGCAACTTGATAAACGATAAGTCTATATGCATATAATATATATATAGGGAGTTATTAACCTTATGTCACATAAAACAAGTATCTTATGTACAAGGAAGCACGGACACTTGTAAAAACAGGAAGAGTCGGGTCCGACACGCTCCGACACGGCGACACGCTCCGACACGGTGTCGGACACGCGATTGACTTTTTCCGACACGTTGACCATTCCGACACGTGAATTTGACCGTGTCCGACACGGTCAAATGGCATTTTCGTAATTTTTTTTAAATTTTTTAAAAAAAATTATTTTTTTTAATTTTTTTAAAAAAAATTATTTTTTTTTAAAAGTTAAAATATATTAATAAAGCTTCCACCTGATCATATCAATTTTATCTTTTTGTCTTTTTTCCCCTTAAGTAGATAAGAGATCATCTCAGCATCATTGTTATCAATTCCTATCACGCTCTTGTTGTATCTTCTTCTCTCTGATCTCTCTCTCTAATATGATTAGATCTCTATATGATATTATATCTCTCTCATCCCAGTTCTTATTTTTTTGATTAAAGCTTCCATCTTTATAACGTATTGATGGGTATTATTAATTCAGTTTCATTTTTTTGTTAAATTATTAAATATTAAATGAAATATACACTATATAAATTAAAAATATTATTTAATATTAAAACGTGTCCCAACGTGTCGAAATCCATAATTTTTTAGGATTGACGTGTCGGAGTGTCGTGTCGTGTCGTGTCACGTGTCGCGTGTCGTATCGGTGCTACATAGCTTATGTAAGTGAAAAAAAGTTGTGGGGCTCATATTTTTAAAAAAAAAAATAGAAAAAAAAATGGGCACAAGATTCTATGAGTATGCAGCATAAGACAATTATCTTATGTGACACAAGACAACTATTTTTCATAAAGGTAGGATTATTTGATACCAGTGTCAAATTTAAAGTTTGACATTGGTTCTGAGAGCCGTTAGATCAAAAAAGATCAACGACTCTGATTTGTCAGCATGTGACTCCATTGATCTTGTTTTATCTATCGGCTCTCAGATGAGGTGTTAAACTTTAAATTTGATATCGGTGTTGAAGGATCCTCTCCCTTTTTCATATATATATATATATATATATATATATATATATATATATATATATAGGTAGGATCTTTTGACACTAGTGTCAAATTTGAAGATAAAAAAAGATCAATGGTGTCACATGCTTACAAATCAGAGTCGTTGATCTTTTTTGATCTAATGACTCTCAGGCGAGGTGTTAAAATTTGACACTGGTGTCAAAGGATCCTACCTCATATATATATATATATAAAAATATTTTCTCATGTTGCATGAGAATTATTCTTATGTTGTGACCCTTCGATTTGCATGCAAAACTTTTTTTGTCTTTTTTAATAAACGTGGGGCCCACCACTAATTAAGTCACAACATGATAATTCAATTCTTATGCAATATGAGAAAATCAAACCCCCTACATGTATATATTGATATGTTGTATAAAATATATTAAATTAAATTTAAAATATTTATTTATCATTAATACCAAAGTAATTATATTTTTAAAATATGATATAATATTAGATCATCAAAATAACTTGAAACATAACATAGAATCCTTAAAGTACATCCAAACTATTTTTTTAGAATTCAAACCCGTTTTAATTAACTCTAGAACGAGGGAGATCATAATAACCGACAGGTATTTGAACGCTCATGCTAAAAGACAATCACGTGATACAGTTCTCCATAAACCCAAGAAACTCTCACATTACATGTCCACTCCACTGTAGTCTACGTTACACGTAGGCTCTTCTATTATTGCTTCACTTTTGATTTTCACCCACCTGTCCTATCCCACCCACTAACAACGTACATGATACAACATACTCATAATTATCCTCCCACACACCAAATCCACCGTATTGTTAGTACAAATCCCATATTTGACAAATACTTAGGTAGAGTTGTGCAAAACAAGAATGGAATTTTATTTTTCTGAATTAGTTTTAAAAACCGAACTGATTTTATAAATTTTTAAAATTAGTCAATTCGAAATCTGTTTAGAATGAGTTTGCAAACTTAAATTGATCTGGTTTAGAACAAGTTCTAAAACATAAATCGGTTCTGAAACATAAACCGAATTTGAGTTGCTTCCGAACCGATTATGTACAAACAAAAACTATTCGATTTAGAATCGAACCGATTTAAATAAGTTCAATTCGGATGAGCCAAAAATGAGATTCGGGTCGAGCATGCATGTCTATCTTTACAAATAAATAACAATTACTTATGTGATAAGCATTAAACCAACCCTTTCAGAGACAAAATATATTACTATTTTTTTTCGTTGAATATAAATAAGTTATTTGTCTTGAGCTTAAAACGATATTCATTTTTGGATGAAAATTAAAGTATTTTTGTAATTATAATTTATTTATTCTAAACTTATAACAATTTTTTCATCTTTCAACTCAAAATAACATATTTTGAGAATAAATATAAATAAATTATCTATAATTACTTAGAAACATTGCCTTTAAAATATCGGAAATAATACTCTCTTGTCAGGATAGTAAAATTTTTTTCTACACAAATTTATTTTCTGTGCCAATTAATTTTTTTTTTAATATAAAATATGAAACTCACGGTTAACTTGTCTCTACTTTTTTTTATCTGTACGTAAGAAAACTTGAACCCTTAAAATATAGGGGTATGTTTTTCTCATGTTACATGAGATAACATACCCCTCCTACTCATACATCAAAAGTCGTGCTAGCTTTTATTTATTTTTTTACTTTTTTTTAAAAAAGTAAATCCCACATATTTTGAGTCTATGGCATGAGATATCAAGTCTCATGCAACATGAGACTTGTATTTCCCTAAAATATATGCATATCGAACGAAAGAAAACGCTTGGCATACGCAAAAGGATCGTATGCTTTTAAGATTATTTTGCGAGTGTATTTTGTTGGTAGAATGGCCTTTCAAGAGACGGAGACGGTTGTGATGGATAGTGTCGGCCATCCTCGAATTTATCTAGAAGGAAGCTCCACGTGGCGGCTTTACCAAACGACACATGGAAAACTCGTTCTCTCTCTCTCTCTCACTCGCCGTTCACGTAATGTTTTTCGTTATTTAATAGAAATGATCATTTTCCATCTTCATATAAGTATAAACTGACACACAAGCAACATGATTCCGGGGACTAGTGTTCTCTGGGTTTGAACGGAATCTCTCCGAAGTTGTTCCTTCCATTTCGAGACTGTTGCGTTTTAATATGTGTTTTAATGTATATATACATGTGCTTTCTTGCAAAGAAAGATAAGATAGGTCAAAGGTACTAGCTAGTATATATTAGGATATATATATATAGTTTAGTTTGGTAGTTGGGTAGGTGTGTGATTAAACCATGGAAGACAGGGATTGTTGTTGTTCCACCAATTCAAACATCACACGAAGCAAAAGAAGTAGCAGTCACACGGAGAAAGCGAAGAAACAACAACAAGAGAAACCAATCAAACCATACAGAGGGATAAGGATGAGGAAGTGGGGTAAGTGGGTGGCTGAGATTAGAGAACCAAACAAGAGATCCAGGATTTGGTTGGGTTCTTACACCACCCCTGTCGCCGCCGCACGAGCCTACGACACCGCCGTGTTCTACCTGAGGGGCCCATCAGCTCGCCTCAACTTCCCCGAATTGTTGTTCCAAGACCAAGAAGATTCCATCCATCAATTACAGAACATGTCCGCAGATTCCATACGCCAAAAAGCCACCCAAGTTGGTGCCAGAGTGGACGCTCTCCAAACAGCTCTTCATGCTTCTTCCACTTCCACCTCCCAGAAACCTGACTTGAATGAGTTTCCAAAACCTGAAGATTCCCTTGACCTTCAGGATTGATATTATTAATATATATATCAATATTATTAATATTGATGAAGCTTTGGAGCTAGGGCTTGGAACTAAACCCTTCAGCCCTTCACCTTAATTTGTCTATCTTCTTGTTTTTCAGTTGAATATCTTTAATCATATTATTAAAGTACATATTTTCTAGGGTTTCTGCTAAGTGCTGCCACTATCTTTATTAGAAGAAAGAGGATATAAAGAATTAGATATCTGTAGTAGTACCTTGTAGCTTGTGACGTTCCATATGGTTTTGCAAAGGTGTAACATAAAATGGCCACTAAACGTCAATGGGTGTCGGTGGCTTCTTTCGCTACGACAAGCTAGAAAGATAGTTCATCCAATTAATTGTTTTTAAGTAGGAGAATCTTGTTCTTTTCCTATCCAAAAGAGAGAGAGAGAATTATTGTTTAATTAGCTCCTTTAATTTAGTGCTCAAGAAGGTTTGTGTTTGTGTAAAGATTCTTCTCTCTATTATGTTATCTCGAAAATTTGGTGGAATTAATTAATATGTGCAAGTGCAATTCATGAGTGTGGAAAGAGGCAAGAGGATAAAGATGGGAGCACCAGTGGCCCAACGAAGCTCAAAGCAAACACTAAAGTTCAGTTTGCCGAATAGTAACAACTGGATAAAGAGATAAGGCAGTGTTGAGCATTAAGAGAAGCTGCTTCTCATGACGAGCTGGTGGACTCCACACAACAGAAAATTAGACAAATAAATAAATATAAATAAAAACAATGGGCAAGAGGGTGGATACTAGTGGACCTCAAGGAAGTAAATTTAGAATATAGGAGAAGAGAAAAGGAGAGAACGAGAGAAGAGAATAAGAGAAGGAGATGAGAATTGGGAATCAAATATTCTGCTTTATTCAATCTATTTTCTCTAATTTATAGAAAGGAACAACTCATAACTAATAGATAAGAATAGAATCCTAGACTAATTCTAATCTTATTTAATTGTTCTGAAAGCGATAAACAAGATAAGCTAGGCTAACTAATTGTTGGATTTAAACTGTTTTTGCAAAACAAATTATCTAACTACTGAGCTGTAACTACTGGACTTCATTTCCTATAGTCTAATAAATATTTGGTCTCCCTATTATACCTCTTGGGCCTGCTGCCACTTGATTCTGCTACAATTGACAGCACATGAAAATTTACCTTGTCGTCCAAGACAGTTGGGTTGATCACTGAATGCTTATTAATAGAATATGTATCTTTCATTATCTCAAAGTGAAATTTACATAAGACGTCCTATGTATATAAGTTACATGACAAGCATAAGAGTAAAAGATAAACATGATAACAGAAACTTTGTTACACCATAAACGAGCTGCACTCTTATTTAGAGAGCATATCTAAACTACTATATCTAAACAACCCAAGTGATAACTACTATATCTAAACAACCTATGTGATCTCTATCTCTTTCACTCCCCCTTAAGTTGGAGCATGAAGATTTGAAATGCCCAACTTGCCAACTAATGTATGAAAAGTTGTTGTACCAATGCCTTTGTAAAGATATCCACTAATTGCATATTGGAACGAACATAAGCTGTAGAGATAGTGTGAGCTAGAAGATGATCCCGAATGAAATGGCAATCCAACTCTATGTGTTTCGTTCATTCACGAAACACTGGGTTAGCTGCTATATGAAGTGCAGCTTGGTTATCACATAAAAGTTGCATCGAATCTTTGTGATGAACACATTGAGAAGCTAGGAAGGCCTTCAACCATACAAGCTCTGCTGCTGTTGTTGCCATGGACCTATATTCAGCCTCAGCTGAAGAGCGGGAGACCGTGACTTGCTTTTTGGTCTTCCAAGATATTGGAGAATCTCCTAACAAGATGAAGTAATCGGTGGTTGATCTTCTGGTAATGGGGCAACTTGCCCAATCTGAGTCACAAAAGGCTCGTATAGATAAACTAGAGCTAGGTCTCATGAAGAGACCTTGTCCTGGGTTTTGCTTCACATATCGCAGAACTCGGATGACAGCATCAAAATGTTGTTGTTGTGGATTTTGTATAAAATTAGGAAAGAGTGTGCACTGCATAACTAAGATCAGGCCTTGTGATAGTCAAATAAACCAACTTCCCAATGAGCCTTCGATACCTTGCTGGGTCATCATAAGTCAGTCCTGCTGCCAAGGCAAGTTTGTGATTCTGCTCCATAGGTGAAGAAGCCAGTTTGCAGCCGAGAAGACCCGATTCTGTTAATAAATCCAGGGCATATTTGCGCTGAATTATGACAATACCAGATGTATTCCGTGCAATCTCGAGCCCTAAGAAGAACTTTAGTGGACCAAGATCTTTAATTTTAAACACAGAACCAAGATAATTTTTAACTTCTTGACATGCAATAGAATTGTTGCCCGCAAGCACTAAATCATCCACATAAACAAGTAACGCAAGAAATACATCCCCTCGTTGGAGTGTAAATAGAGTGTAATCATCCTTTGATTGTATGAACCCATAGGCTATCAGAGAGGAACTTAGTTTGGCGAACCAATTTCTCGGAGATTGTCATAGGCCATATAATGATTTTTGCAATCTACAAACTTTGTTTGTTGAGCCATTTGTGAAGCCTGGAGGAAACCTCATGTAAACCTCCTCCGAGAGATCCCCATGCAAATATGTATTGTGGACATCCATTTGGTGCAACTCCCACTTTTTCACAACAGCAACTGCAAGAAGAGCTCTGACGCTTACCATCTTCGCTACAGGGGCAAATGTCTCATTAAAATCTTCCCCTTCAATCTGGTTATTTTCAGCTATTACCAGTCTTGCTTTATATCGTTCCACAGATCCGTCAAAGTTAAACTTGATGCGGTATACCCACTTGAAAGGTAATGGGCGTTTTCCTGGTGGGAGATCTGTAATTGTCCATGTATGATTTTCTTCCAGTGCAGTTATTTCTTTCTACATAGCTTCAACCCATCTTTTGTCTGCCATCGCTTCTTTGAAATTGCTTGGCTCCTTTCCTGCATCAACAGCTGCAAGCAAAGCTTTGTGCTTTTGTGAGAATTTTGCACATGAAACATAATTATTAATAGGTATGGAGTACCTGAGATAGGCCTACAAGTGATGTGTGGTGGAGGTGTATATGTATCTGCAAGGTTGCATTGGTAGTCTTGTAAGTATGCTGGAGGTTTTCGAACCCTTTGTTGTCTGAATGTACGGTGCAAGTCTATAGAGCTGGACTCAGCCATGACCCCAGATGAAGAGTTAGGTTCGGTAGTTGAAGAGTCAGGTTTAGTAGTTTGTGAACTAGGAATCCCCCCAACATCATAGCTCGCCTATCATTTTGTGTGGTTCTGTCCATTAAGGATTCTTCTTCAGGTACAGTTTCTGGGCACACGATGGCATCATTGTCAGAAGGTGCATGCAAACTGTCATCCACAACGGTAGTAGTAGGCAACAACACTTGAGTATGCTCATGGCAGCGCTGTGATGATTCCTTGAATGGAAACTCGTTTTCATAAAACACAACATCCCGAGACACAAAGTTATCATTTCAAAACATGGAATGGTCTGAGAAGCACCTACATTGAGCCACACATTTCATTCCCTGAGGGTTACAACGTCAGACGTGATGTTGATGAGTTGGGTGAAGAAGAGGGCACTGATGCCCCACAAAAAAAAACCACGTAAGCAACACCTTCAAAATTTGCAACCTCTTCCTCCCACACCCAGGCAAGAAAATCTGTTCTCCCTCCTTCAAAGGTAAAAAAAGAAGCCCCTGTTGCTACTGAGAGCAAGCAGGGAAAGAAGAAATCTCCTACCAAAGCACCCCCAAGAAAGGGGGAACATTCTAGTCAGAGGCTGAAGAGATCCTTCAACAGCACCAAAACACCAGAGGGAGCCACCTCTGAGAAACCTATCACCCTCTCTGACAAGGAGGAGGACAGTGAAGAAAATGAGCCTATCTTAAAAAGGCTGAAGAAAGGAGGAACGCCAAGACATCAACCAGCTATAAAGGAGAAGTCCACAAGTAGCTCTGCAACATCTGAATCTTCTGACGTTCTGTCCCCTCCTACATCACCTGCTTATTCTTCAACACCACCAAGACCACCCACACAGGAGGAAATGGATGCTGAGAAGAACTCAACTCAGGATAAAAGGTGTTCACGTTGAAAAGAGAAAAAACCTCCTGCTTTGTTTCATTTTATGTTATTTCTTTCTTGCAAATTTCCAATTGTTTTCTTTTCCGTTCCTTAGTGTACATTTCACCTTTTTGAATAGAAAAATTTCTTTTTGATTCACTGTTTGTAACACATATTTCAGTTATAGTATTGCGGCCGTAAAAATTTAGATAACCAATAGCATGAAACATAAAGTCAATGAGTAGTTATTCTTATTCTGAACGCTAGAAGTAGGGGAAAAGAAGTAAATTTAACCTTCAAATTTTTGAAGGATGCTGATCTGTGTGACCTAAAACTGGTGAGGAACAAAAAATGCCAAACACTTACTCATGAGAGCGTTCCTACGGTGTAACCACAATGAAACTTATGAACTTGCTTTGATGTTGTAAGTACTGCAGAAGGACATGTGAACTACACAGAAAAGGATCAACCATCAAACTCTCACCCCACCACAGTAAAACAAACACTTCCATCCCATACATCAACACAATCACACACAGTCATAAATGTAACAGCCCGTTGTACACCGGTATTGTTAACATTAATATGATATTAAGCGCAGTTACAATCACAGCAATTCATTTATAAAAATGCGAGTAAACTTTTTTCGTTTATTACGCGAGCATTTAAAACAATAAAAAGCGTAATAAATAGAAGTTGCGATCGTAACCATAAAATCTTTGCGGAATAATTATTTAAACTACTTTATAACATATATTACCTCTCTCAAGTCACTAAGGGGTTCCCATAAACCCACTTAGCTAAAATCTCACTTTTACGTTTTCTACCTATCCGAACATGGTTCTGTCTTTAATGTTTTGCAGACAAACCGCATTCTACAAGCCTCCCATCTTTTAGTATTTTATTCTAAACTTAATTACCTTTCTAGGAAGCTATCATACGATTCATAAAGTTCTCTTTTGCTCCGGATATCGCCGTTTGAAGTTGGACAAGCAAATCTGCCAGCCATCCCCAAAATAGCTCCAAACAGCCTTCACTCAATCAATTATTCTGGACAATCAACTCAACCAATTGCTCTCAAATTTTTATACAACAAACTAGGCACCCCAAGCTTCAGATTGAAATATGATACACCTAATTTGACCAAGAAACGAAGCGGGAATAATTTTTCCAATCTCATTCCAGAACTTCCACATGTGCAGTGGCAACATGGGGAGTCCATGCTCTATGCCTTCTATAGGCTGACTCCCAACCCAGAATTTCCTCAAATGTTGACAAGAGATAGAGG